AAAAATACCCCTCTGACCTTACTGAAATTACCATTTTGACCCTGAAAATATTGTAATTTACCAATCTACCCCGTCAGCTATAACAAGTTCAACTAATCAATTCTAACCAAAATATAGCAGCTATAACCAATTCCTAATCAGATTTTATGAACAACTCAAACTAAATGATGAACAACAAAGAAACCACTGGAATTATTTTGATTGAACAATATTTTTTAACAACAAACCTATTTTCAGATTCAACACAATAACAAACAAATATATTCAAATCATTGAGCTCAAATTCAACTTAAACTTAAACAAAATAAATGAACAGATTCAAATTACTAAACTCAAATAATCAATTGATCTTCAAATTAAATCCAACAATGTTACAACAAAGATGTATGATTCAAACTAAATCAAAAATTTACAAACCAAAACATAAACTCACATTAAATCACTAAATTAAAACGAACTTCAAACAAACAATAAACACGAATTAAATCTAAATTAAACAACAAAAATGGACGATTTAAGTGATTAAACTAACATATTTCTATATTACAACTAAATTCTTTTAAACAAATAAAAATAAACCGAAGAAGAAATAATTGATTGAATTTCAACTTGAATCTAACCACATTAAAATTAAACTAACAATTTCTTTTTGAATCTAACAACATTAAAATTAAACTAGCAATTTTCTTTTTGAATCTAACAACATTAAAATTAAACTAACAATTTCTTTTACAAAAATAAATAAAAACACATGAAACAAACTGAAAAACAATTAATTCAATCAACAAAATACGTGAACAAACACATGAATTAATTCAACAAAACATATGAACAAACTAGAAAGTTAATTCAACGATATACATGAACAAAACAAGAATCGAACATTTACCGATTTTAAATCCAAAAATATCAAAACAAAATACGGAAAACATGAAACTCAAACCTACTAACCAGATCGAAGCGACGATGAACTTGAATGAAAACAAATCTGTCCGGAAACTTAAACAATGGACGAAGCTTCGCTGGAGGGGTGTTTGGCGACGACGAGAGCTAAAGCAGCAGCAACATGCTGCTGCCACGCTGCTGAAACAGTAGCAGCACAGGAGCAGTAGCTTATTGAGAAGCAGAACGCAGCAGCAACAACACTACTGGAGCAGTCATGGCTGCTCGTCGTAGCTGGACGCGGCCATGGGAGAAATGACGAGGCTTGAAGAAGCAGAAGCATCGAGCTAGAGCTTCAGTGACGCAGCTATGGCAGCAGCAACACGACGAAGAAGAAGCAACCACGGCAGCGACAGTGAAGCAGCAGCCAGCGACAGACGACGAAGAAGAAACAACCATTAGTTCGACGGGGAAGAAAGAAGCAGAAACAGCCAGCAGCGCTACAGTGAGCTGGAAGAAACAGCAGCTATCAACGTGATGGAGAAGAAGAAACAGCGAGGGGGCAACCATGGATGCGTGAGCTCGAGCTAGAAAAAGATGGCGACGATGAAGACGGAAAAAGCGAAAAACGAAGGAGATGGTGGTCGGTTGTTGCGTGTGTGCGTGTGTATGTTGCTGTGTGTGTGCTGTATATGTGTATGTGTGTGTTGGAGAAGGAGAATGAGGCGGGGCAGCCATGGATGGCTTGCTTGGAGCTTGAGGAAGAAGAAGGAAAGAGAGGGGGCGGGTTTCAACAGTGAAAGAAAAAAAATGTTAGGGTTTTGTTTTTTTTAAAGATAGGGAAATAGGGGTGTTGGGTTATGGACTGGGTCGACCCGGTTTGAAATGGACCGGGTCGTAGGGAAAGGTTGGGTATATTTGGGCATGTGGTTCAAAATTGAAGAAGTGGCCCAATTCGATTTTCTTTGTATTTTTTGCTCTCTTTTCTTTTACTTCCTAATTAATAAAACTAAAAATAATTCTAAATTAAGTTAATAAACTAAATTAACTTATCGAAAAATACTAATTAGCTCCAAATATAAATTATCGCACATAAAGATAGCAATTAACAATAAAATCACACAATTAAACATTAAATGCCAAAATGCAACATACATTATTTTTATGATTTTTTATTTTTGTAAAACAAACTTAAATAAATATTAAATGCAAATATGTGACATATTTTTATAATTTTTTATTAATTTAACCAAATAAACATTCACAGAAAAATACAAATAAGTATGCAAAAAATAATACAAAAATACAAAAAATTGCACACAAAGGAAAATTGTTTTATTTTGGATTTTTTGGGAGTAATTCTCATATAGGGCAAAAATCACGTGCTCACAGTGATGCTTGTATAACACTGTAACCTTTTTCCATATCCCATAGACATATAATATACATATATCCACGTATATAACACCATTTGGTCATGGGTCAATGTACATGTATAAATGCATGAAATGCATAAGAAATACGTTAACAAGATTTTCTCGAATTGCCATAAAAATTAATATGCCTTTCAGATAAACTTTATCAAATACGTATTTTTCTGAGACCCATGAATAAATGATATAATAATAATTCACATAGGAAATCAAGAATATAGACGCCCCTAGAATTTCTATGAATAGAGTCATTTATGTTAGTTGCGTATTTGCTCATTTCGTTTATTTCGTATGGATCATGCCAAAAAGAAAGAAAGGATAGCCTTAACATACCTGGGGTAGGGAAAAATTCGTATGATATTCTTAAAAAAGGTTGTACCATACTCCGTTAGAATCGCAAAATTTTTACGTTGTTAAGATTCTAATAATCCTCGTTGGATTTTGGTTGAAAACTATTTTATTGAAAGCTTGCTAACGTTCTGGTAAGGATTTTTGGTTGAATGGCTAACGTTCAATCTTTGGTTGAAAGAAGACTTGTAATAAGAATGCTTAACATTCTGATCTCTAGTATGAAAATATATTTGGTATGGAAAAAAAGTCTTATTGTAAGAATGGAATGATTGTGTAATATGGTGTCACCTTTTAATTTGTGGTATGAGTCATTCTAATTGCATTGGGGGAAAAGCCACCTCATACTTTTTTAATACTTATCCAATATATTCCAATTAATTAGGTAATGTCCATTACCCAATAATTAACCAATTATCCGCATAATTAAGAATTATCTCAACTTACTTAAAATACTACTTTTTTAACATACCTTGTACACCTTACTAGCATGGTCATGTAGTACCTTGTATGACACTAGTTCATAAATATCGAGTATTAATGCTCGGCCCGTATTTTATCCCAATATGCCAAACTTGGACAAAAAATTCATTTTCTTTGACTTGCTTCCCCTCTCACCTTCACGAATTTACTCATCATTTATTTAAAATAGAAAAATCCTTATAATCTTCAAATAATCTCTTTCCTTGGACCAATATCAATTACCTTACGACAAATTCAACATACAATACTACATGGTGCAACATCGTCGTAATTTAATATTGTGGGACGTAATATCGACGTAATATTGCGGGGCATAACACCTAAGCAGTCACACATGGAAGCTGCTTTGAGGGTTGTGAGGTATATCAAAGGTGCACCAGGTCTGGGGCTGCTGATACCATCTGAAAGCTCAGGTAAGCTAGAGGAATTTTGTGACTCAGATTGGGGAGGATGTCTGCAGACCAAAAGATCAGTTACTGGCTATTTGGTGAAGTTTGAGAATGCACTTATATCCTAGAAATCAAAGAAACAAGAAACATTAGCAAAGAGCTCGATTGAGGCAGAATTCGGAATTATGGCCTCAGTAGTAGCAGAATTAACTTGGCTCACTGGGTTGTTCAAGGAGTTAGGAGTGAAGGTTGATCTGCCTGTAGTTCTCCACTATGACAGCAAGGCTGCAAATTCAAATTGCAGCCAATCCTATCTTCCATGAAAGAACAACACATATTGATATTGATTGTCATTTTGTTTGAGAAAAAAATAGTACAAAAATTGGTGAAAACACATCATGTACCTACTAAAGAGCAACATGCTGATCTCCTAACCAAAAGCTTAGGAAAAGTTCAGAACGAGTACTTGATGTTCAAGCTGAGATTGAAAGATATATTTCAACCATCAGCTTGAGGAGGGGTGTTGAATGAATGATAGATACATTAACAGCCGTATACATTAAAATATTAGCTGGTTAGTTAGAAGACTAGTTAGGCTGTTAGTATAAGATGTACAATGTCTTTCAAGTAGTCGGTTATGTTAGTTATCACTGTAGCAGTGAGAAGCATTTGCTTTCTTCCTCTATTTTCTTTTTATGCTCATTTCTCCATTGCTAATAGCTTCGAATCTAGATCTCATCAGGGCTATTAAAGGGTTGTGGTGTAAATATCATACTTTAATGCAAATATTAGTGGGTACTTTCACCGACCGCAAGTTAATGCATACATTGGGTTGGAAAATAAAATATTACAACCAAATACTTTATCAATCATTAACAAAATTTAGTACCGACATTATTCTTAGTTGCAAGTATAAACAAACATATTCTTTTTTTTATATATAGAATTCACAGCTCACAACCTCACACTTTAGTGTGATTGTCTGTACAACTGTATAAAGGGGTACGAAGATTTTATTTTATATTACAAAAAGGTCAGTTAATTATTATTAAAATAAAATCTACAATGACTATCTCCTTCATTTTCATCCCACGGCCCACTGTTTCATCGTCTTTTTCTGTCTATTGCCATTCACTTCTCCTCTCTTTCTTCTCACACCAGTTCATCTTCAACCTTCTCTCCACAAACTCTCCATTTTTCTGCTATTTTTGTAAATTATGAATTACTAAATTATTTTCTACTTTTGTAAGAAAAACTCATATTCATACACTATATATCTACTTTTTCTGCCATTCTTGTCGACATTGAAGACTAATAAAGCTCAAGTTTCTGGCCTTGTTTGGAGTTTTTGAAGCAATAATGTGGGCCTAAATTCTGGTAACTTTTATTTTTATCAATTCAAACTGTATAAAAGTTTGCATTTTTTATTTTCCTAAAATGCCCATGTAAAAAATCATTCAAAAATTGCATTTTTATTGTGGGTTTTTGAATTAATTAGCAAATTGATGAATCTTAGTTAAAAGGGCATTAAGCTCATGATTTCAAGCTAGACTCTTTTTGAGCAAGAATTTTCAAAAGGTGTTTGGAATTATCCACTTTTCAACGGGTTAAAGTGCCAAGTTTTACTTGCTTTTTTTATCATATGGGGATTACATACTTTTGTATACAGTTACCGTTACATTTTGTTTTGCAGTATCAGATTCTCTAACAAAATCTATGAATTAAAAGTACCTAAAGTGTGTACATGAAGTCTCTTTACTAAAGAACTAGAGTTGATGTTATAGCCACACTTTCCTTTAATTGCTCATTCTGTATCTCAGAACTCATCACTAGATAAGTAACATTTTTGGGGTTTCACATTCCTACTATAACCGTAAGTGTCAGCCGAGTTTCTTTCGGAAACAACCTTTCCGCCTTTCCAGGACAGGGATAAGGTTGCGGACATCCCACCCCCAGACCCCACTTTGGTATTGCAATGGATTTTTTGATGTTGTACTATAACCGTAAGTGTAAACCCCATTTGGGCCCAATTTAGTGGACAGATTTACCCGATACCTTGTCCAGCTGATTAGTCTTGTGACAACACCATTATCAAGAAAAAGGTATTGTCATATTTTGGGGGTTGACATTGTTGTGATTTGTGGATTTGCAGTGTGAGATAGGGAAATTGTTGCATTGTGAAGCATGATGGGGCTTCTTGGAAGTCTGTCGATGCTTCGTCTTTTAATGTGGCTATTTTGGTTGCCACGATTAGGGAGCTCTCAGTTAGCTGATTTTTCCCCGGGAGCTGCACGGGCACTAGATGCACTTCTCCAAAATTATGCTTATGTTGCATTTGATCGTCCACGGATTAGGACAGGTGTTGTCTATGATGCAAATGTTCCCTCGAATTTGACTGGGATTAAGGTGTCTGCATTGAGGCTTAGGAGTGGTAGCTTAAGAAGGAGAGGAGTTGAAATATATAAAGAGTTCAAGATTCCCATTGGTATCATTGAGAAGCCTTATGTTGAGAGACTTGTATTAGTCTATCAAAATTTGGGTAATTGGTCTGCGAGATATTATAATTTACCTGGTTACATTTACTTGGCTCCGGTATTAGGTCTTCTTGCTTACGATGCATCAAACTTGTCAGCAACTAACTTGCCCGAGTTGGATATCAAAGCTTCCGTTCAGCCCATCTCGCTAAGTTTTTCAGATGTCAAGCCATTTCCTGTTGGATCATCTGCAAAGTGTGTTTCAATTGATTTACAAGGTTCCGTGAATTTCAGCAGTGTTTTGTCGGATAACACGTGCACAACATTTCAACAGGGGCATTTCTCTATTGTGATCGAGTCAATCGCTCCTTCTCCCGCTCCAGTGCCTCCAACACCAACCCCGGTTTCCCCTCCAAAGGGAAAGAAAAACAAGTCGAGAGTCTGGATAATTGTTGGTTCGGTTGCAGGAGGACTAGTGTTGTTGTTTCTTTTAGGTCTCCTGATAATGTGTGCGAGCAAGTACAAGCACAAGAAGAGAATTCAACAAATGGAGAGGGCTGCAGAGGTTGGAGAAGCGTTGCATATGACTCGTGTTGGGAGCACGAAAGCACCGGTTGCAACTGTAACGCGAACACAACCTACACTAGAAACTGAGTACAGACCCTAATTTATCCCATCTGAACAATCTGCCTCACAAGTTCACATTCATGTTTCTTTTGCTGCAGTTAGATATTCTTGGTGTTGCTTTATTCAATTCTTTTTCTAGACTTATGACAGCAGTGTGAGTAGTAGAACATGATTATTGTGTAAATAATAATCTCATAGCTTTCACATTAGCCATTCATATTTGTGATGATTTGTTATAGTGTGCATTTAGACTCTTAGCATATTGTAGAGTTGATTGTGGTGAAAATTTGTATGAATTCATTGACAAGAAATAAAATTGTTTGATGGTATTTTTCCTAGCTTATTATTATGAATTTTTTCAGATATCAAGAAACAGTTGATTGAAGTTGTCCTATTGTTTTTCCTTCGGATCAAGAAATAATACAAATTGTAGAATTATTTAGACAAGTTAAGATGAGATTATTATGTTGGGATTAATTTTAGTGAAATTAGTTATGATGAGATTAATTATCCCGCTATTATTTTTTATTGATTGTTTGGTATGTTGTGGAGGGGAGCCTTTGCGTAACTGACAAAGTTGCTGCCATGTGACCAAGAGGTCACTGGTTCAAGTCGTGGAAACAGCCTCTTGCAGAAATGCAAGGTAAAGGGTAGCCCAGTGCACTAAGCTCCCGCTATGCGTGGGGTCCAGGGAAGGGCCGGACCACAAGGGTCTATCGTATGCAGCCTTACCCTGCATTTCTGCAAGAGGCTTTTCCACGGCTCGAACCTGTGGCCTCCTGGTCACATGACAACAACTTTACCAGTTACGCCAAGGCTCCCCTTGAGAAATGCAAGGTAAGACTGCATATAATAGACCCTTGTGGTCCGATCCTTCCCAGCCCCCCTACATAGCTGGAGGTTAGCGCACTGGGCTGACCTTTTTTTGTTTGGTATGTTGTATAAATCTTGGGACTCTAAATTTTATAACTTTATCCTGGGATAACTTATCATGAGATTACTATTTACCCTCTGACAAGTATAAATTATTTCAGTACTATTTTTAATATTGAAATAACTTATCCCATAATTAGTAACCAAACATCGGATAATGCAGTACTTTGTCCCACAGTTCTTTTTACTTATCCATCTTACCAAATAACCCTAAAGTAAAGGCAAAGGAATCCAATTCATTTAAACCATTTAATAAAGATTGAGGAAATGTTTTAGTGCAGATAACTGGACATAAAGAAATTTATTTTGTTCTTTGAAAGATTATGTAATAATCTGGCTTTGTTATGCGCCCCCACAAGATGGAGCCAAGACATTGATTGCTACATAGATGTGCAAAGCACTAATAAGAATAAAATATCAGCAAACAGAAGTTAATAATGGAAAGGGACCGAGTTGCCTTTATGTATTGTTTAAATAATTAGTAGTAGCAGTAATATAATAATGTGAAATAAAAACCAAAGGTAAACAAAAAGTATAGCCTTGGATCATATACACTTTGATCAAAATCTGATCAGGAATTATGAGGAATATGATTGAGATACAAAATAAAAAGACTTTTGAAATGGATTTGCTTTATATTTTTTAACAATTTTTTATAAAGTCGTCTTTGTTAGGAGCGTTTATCCCTAACAAAGTTCCAAATATGAAATTTTCCGGCCCAAATTTAAATTTAATCGGGTCCTATTATAAATACCGGACATCGAATCGAACGGTAAACCAACAAAACAACTTTGATGAAAAGTGTCAAGCGGAAGAAGCTGGAATAGAAAAAGTGGCAACCACGAGGCACCCATTATTTATCATTATTGTTAAATGTTGATGAGTGATAATATATAGTGTGAAGTACGGGGATAGAGTCGGGATTTGAAGTTTATGGATTCTGGATTTGTCATCGAACTTATAGCTTATTTTAATGATTGGGTCATAATTAAATATTTATATACATTTTTAATACAAATATAGGATGTAAACAAAAGTTACTAGGCACACTATAGGTTGAGGGGTCACCGGCATTAGAAAACTTCGGCAAAAACTCTATGTATACTTGCAAATGTCTTCAAGAAATAGTCAAATATTAGTAGACTCCCGTACCAATTTTTATGAGCAGTGATAAATTTATATTGAATCTGTGCTTTGAGTCCGCCCCTATTAGTACAAATCTGCAATTAATATTGTAGCTCCGCTAACTGCGGACAGTATACTTGGTAGTAGTATATATGTATTGCACTTTTATGTACATCTGCAGACAAAGTTCTTTCAGTCTGGCTGTGGGCATACAACTACTACAGAGTGCAGACTTAGTATTTAGTGAAATGAAAGAGTAATTAATTCAACAATGGAATTGACTTTGGTACCTATCGGTCAAAAGCTGAGGGAAAATTCCAAACACATAAATGCCTCATCCACCGACCCTCTTTGTCTCCAAAACGACATTGAATTTCAAAATATTTATTAGAGATTGATGACAATGCTAGCAAATTGAATACTAGTATTTCGATGATTTTTTTAGTATTAAAGTAAGATAATAATGTTTTAAGTATTGGTTGGAATAATAATATAATCTCCTTCTGTTTTAATTTATATGAGGTGGTTTAACTTGACATGCAGTTTGATGGAAAAAAAAACTTTTGAAATTTATGGTTTTAAAAGCTTAAAGAGTAAAAGTAGTAGGGTCATTACATATACGTGACTATAAAATCTTCTCATTAAGAGTAAAATGGGTCGAATAAAAAGTTTAAAATTAAAATATTTTCAGATATAGAAATACGTCATTCTTTTCTGAACAGACTAATAAATAAAATGTGTCATATAAATTGAAACAGAGAAAATCGAGGAGAAGAAGAACATAAATCTTTTTTTTAATTTGTTTTAGTTTTCTGATTTTTCAAAGATTCTAAGAACCCTAGATCCCTTTCTATTTCTGTCTCGTTTGTGCTTTTGTACGTGACTGTGTGTGTGCGTGTTCCGGCGAGCTGTTGTGAATGGGAAGAAGCAGAAGCAGCAACATGGGTTTATTCTCGCCGAATTCTGGCTGTAACAAGATGGCACCAGCTATTGTTGTCTCCGACGAGTTCCAGGTGGTGTGAGAAATGTATCGTTTGTGTGGTTGGCGTGAGGTTCAGGGGTGGACGTTAGTTCTATTGTTGGCGAAGATGGGGTTGTTTGGTGTGAGGTGAAATAGGGTTAGTCCGTCGCTGGTTGGTGTTGAAGAAGGTGGAGATGTGGTCGTTTTGGTTAGGTCTTGAGGGAGAAGAAGGTTGCTCGTTTCTGGGATGGAGAAGCAGCGACGACTTGGTGGTTGGAGAAGGGAGTTCGGCGTGAAGGGTCGCCAGTTTCAGGGGTGGTCGGCGGGTTTGAGTGTAGAAGTCCTAGGGTTTTGCTTGTTCTCTAGGGTTTTTGGTTGTCCTCCATAAAGAAGACGAAGAAGCTACGCTGGGGGGGGGGGGGGGTTTTTTTTTTTTTTT